GTGCGGAGCTGCTGGGGCTTCAGCTCCTGTGAGTTCCCTGGGCCGCCTTCCACCCCTCCAGGCTGCAGAAGCACTTCTCTGCCCTCATCCCGCTCTGCTCAAGTTCCCAACTCTTCTTAGTTTCCCTCCTTCAGGGCACAAAGCTTTGGGGCTGGGAGGCCTGGGCAGCCCCAGCCCTCCCCACACCCTGTGCCCCGCCCTCCTCCCCTCTCCCACACTTCTCCACCTCTCCCCTCACCAGCCAGTGACCCAGCTGAGGTACTCAGTTCCAGCCCCAAGCTGGAGCCTCCCCCATCTCCCCACTCCAACCGGAAGAAGCACCGCCGGAAAAAGAGCACCGGGACCCCCCGACCAGACGGCCCCAGCAGTGCTGCTGAAGGTTAGGGGGACCCAGAGGTGGGCAGTGGGACCTGGGTGTAGTACCCTAAAAGCACAGTTGTTTCCATGGTAGCTGGAGGAAATATTTCCTATGAGTGAGCCCTGATGTGAGTAGTTCACAGCCCTCTGGGAACCTAGACTCCTCTTTACTCGGTCCTTTCCTGTTGAGCTTGCTTCTGTCATTCCTGAAGGCAGGTGGCAGGGCTGGTTCTCTGCGTCTCCGGTTAGCCATGAGTGTCAGGCTTGCTGGGGGCATGGCAGGTGCCTCACACACGGGTAGGGTTGGCTGGTGCTCTCTGTAGACTCCAGGGAGCAAAGGTGTTCCAGCTCACGGTGTTCTTCTGGCCTTTCTCATGGTGTCTGTTGCCATAACACCACTCCTCCAGTGTGTGCCCAGCCCCTCCCTCTCAGGGAGCTTTTTGGTCTTTACCTAAGTAAAGGTAGCTTCTGTGGACTTGCAAGTTCTTGTCTCTGTTCTGACTACTCTGGGGATGGGTGTGGTCAAGTGAGTCTGTGACTCTGTGATGCAAAGTCATGGTGGCACGGTGTCCACTGTGGTCTCAGAACCCAAGACCCCCAAAGGGGTAGAGCTCACGGAGTTTAAAAGCTGAGTGTGAAAGCAAGGGAAGTACCTGGAGAAAGGAGGTACCAGTTTATACATGGGAGAAGGCAGCTTTCTTAAGGGTCCTCAGAGGAGGAAGGTGAAGATTGCCAGGGGTGTGGCATCACCGAGGTGAGAGGCTGAAGGCACAGAGAAGGAACAAGAACTTAGGCTCAGGGATGGCCTGGGCAGAAGGCATGGCTCACCCTAGGGCCATATAAGTACTGTGTCTCTCTGGCCCCCATGACAAGTCACACTGCCCTTTGGCAGTTGTTCAGGGGCAGTGGCCTCTAGGAATAGATCTGTCTGTCGGTCTTCCGGGCATCTGGGGGAGCAGAGTAGAGTGGTAGAGCGCGATCTTTGGGGTCACAGTGCAACCCCGGGGCTTGTCACTACAGATGTCCTTGGTTCTTGTTGGTTCCCATCCTCCAGTTCCTGGAGAAAACATCTCTTCCCCCACCCACTTGCCCTTCCTGCCTGTCTGTGCCGGGGCAGTGGGGGAGGGGCCCAGCTCCCAGGAGCCCTGTGCTGACGCCGTCCAGAATATTGGGTTTAATGAGCTGCAAAATGAGGAGGCTGCAGCTGACACGTACGGATGGTGCTCGCACCCGCCTCCTTGCCCAGCATGCGCCTTCTAGCACCCGTCGCATCCTTCTTCAGACACTTAGCTCGTCTTTCTCCAGGATGCCCCATCATGGTGTCCATTCCTGGTAGTATTTAGGAAGCCAAGCACTGACACCTGCCATTTCCCAACTCCACAGGTGGTTACAAGTGGAGGGCAGGGGCTCAAACTGGTCTGGAGCAGTCACAGTTTCCCTGCTTGCAAATAGTCCTAAACAGTGTGGCCCTAGGGCTGGGATGGGCATTTTTGAGGGTGAGGATGAGTGTTGGCAAAGGAGGGTCTGGATGGAGTTATGGCAGTGGTGTACCTCTGGATGTGTGTGCTGGCAAAGAGCCCTAACAGGGCAAATACCCTCTCCCCAGAGGCAGAGGAGTCCTTTGAGTTTGTAGTGGTATCCCTCACCGGGCAGACCTGGCACTTCGAGGCCTCAACAGCAGAAGAACGGGAGCTGTGGGTGCAGAGCGTGCAGGCCCAGATCCTCGCCAGCCTACAGGGATGTCGCAGCGCCAAGGACAAGGTTGGCATTGTGGTGGTAGAGCCTGGCCGGGGTGGAGCCTGTGGAGGGGGCTTGAGACTGATCAATTACCCTTCTTTCTCGTGCCTCCTGGCAGACCCGGCTGGGGAACCAGAACACAGCCTTGGCTGTGCAGGCCGTCCGCACGGTCCGTGGCAACAGCTTCTGTATTGACTGCGAAGCCCCCAGTGAGTATAAGGCCAGTAGAGCTAGGTGTTTAGGGTTCAGGTGGCAAGAAGAGGTGGAGGGATGCAGAAGGCCTTCTACACTGGCCCTCTATCGGTGGCCCCTGCTGTAGCTTTCTCCTTCTGCCCACCTAGATCCGGACTGGGCCAGCCTGAACCTGGGCGCCCTGATGTGCATCGAGTGTTCAGGGATTCACCGACACCTGGGGGCTCACCTGTCCCGAGTCCGCTCCTTGGACCTTGATGACTGGCCACCTGAACTGCTAGCTGTCATGACTGCGATGGGCAATGCCTTGGCTAACAGTGTCTGGGAGGGAGCCCTGGATGGCTACTCGAAGCCAGGCCCCGAAGCCTGTAGGTGAGCCAGTGCTGCCCGAGCGCTACCTGGGAAGGATGCCAGGCCCCCACTGCAGGGGCCGGTGGAACCTGTGGCAGCAACAATATTACAAGGGTTAAACTGCTGTTGCTTGGCTTGGCAGTTGGACCCTGGGGGTATCCCTCCCCTGCTGGTGCCTGTCACTCAGGCGCCTCACAACAACAGGGCCTTTTCTGAGCCGTTATCGGCAGGTCAAGGGCCAGCAGGAGGCGCATGCGCAGGGTCCATATCGCTGTGTGCCTCCTGTGTCCAAGCCTGCATGCTGAGATGGGGAGAATGGGTGGTAGATAGGGTGGCCACGGCCCCCTCTCAGGCTGTCACCTGCTTTGTTCCAGTGCCACCAATCTCAAAGAGTTCAGACAGCCTGATAAGCTGCCATGCAGGCTTGCTTGGAATCCTTCTGCTCTCTCTGTCCTCATGTCCCTACTGGCCCCAAGGGTTTCCCCTCAGTGTCCCACCCTTTTTGCTCAATACCACCCCATTTATGTGACCCACTGCCCCTTGAAGGCCCTGGAATCCCTGGGGCTCCTCTCTGCCTTCATTCTCATCAGTGCAGTTGTCCTCCCTGTTCCCTGCTTAAATGTCTGCTTCCTTCCTGACTCCTGACACACACACACACACACACACACACACACACACACACACACACAATTTGGACCCTGTTCCCTTCCTCGCCTCATGCCTTGATGGACCTGTGCTTGCAGAGAGGAGAAAGAACGCTGGATCCGGGCCAAGTATGAACAGAAGCTCTTCTTGGCCCCGCTGCCAAGCTCCGACGTGCCACTGGGGCAGCAGTTACTCCGGGCTGTGGTGGAGGATGACCTGCGGATGCTGGTGATGCTGCTGGCCCACGGGTCCAAGGAGGAGGTGAACGAGACGTACGGTGATGGCGACGGGAGGACAGCCCTGCACCTGTCCAGTGCTATGGCCAACGTGGTCTTTACGCAGCTGCTCATCTGGGTGAGTGTGGGCCCCTCTGGCCTGTTCTGGTCTCCCCTTCCCAGGCTTCAAAAGTTGCCTCTCCTCCCTGACAGCTAAGGTCTTTTTTCCAACATTATGCCAATTGCGAATGTGCTTTCTCCTGCAGTACGGGGTGGACGTGAGGAGCCGTGATGCCCGGGGCCTGACCCCACTGGCCTATGCCCGCCGGGCCGGCAGCCAGGAGTGTGCGGACATCTTGATCCAGCATGGGTGCCCTGGGGAGGGCTGTGGGTTAGCACCCACTCCCAACAGAGAGCCTGCCAATGGCACCAACCCCTCCGCAGAGCTGCACCGCAGCCCTAGTCTCCTATGAAGCTCAGGAAGAGGGCAGAGGGACCAGAAGGACTCCGTGGCCTGGAGGAAACGGATGGAGAAGCAGGGACGTGCAGTGAAGAAGAGGAGGCGATGACAAGGGTCCAGGGATGGAGGAGAGGTTTGGGATCTGAGCTGCAGCAGAGCAGGCGTGTGTTGTTCGGCCCTCTGCCCTATGGTGCCATTAAGGGACAGAACCCTTCGGAGGTACCTGTGAGGAGATGGGGGGCAGGACCTCTCCCTCCTCCAGAACCCTGCCTCCTCGTGACAGCTCCCACAATCCTTCCCTGCAATGGGTGGGGAAGGACAGGACACAGGATGGGGGTGCCAGATGAGAGACAAGGGGCCAGTATGTGAGTCCCATGTAAAATTTGTACATTGGAATATTTATGTTCGTGTATATATGTGGTGTGTGTGTATGATGAGCCAATAAACCAGGCTGTATGTGTGGCCTCATTTCTCCTGTGCCTTGGTACCCCGACCTTGCTGGCCCCCTGCTCTCCTTAGTTACCTCCTTCTGCCAGTTCTTTCAGTCTCCCTTGGCAAGGATGAAGCATGACAGGGTAAGGCTGCGTCTGCCAGAGGCGGCACCCTCTTCCTCCAATGTGCGGTCTTCCCCTCCCTGCCCTCTTCTGAAGACCCCCAGTGGTCTCTGCTGTCAGCAGAGCTTAGTGACCACACCCTGCACTGGCCAGTTTGCAAAGGCAGGGCCTTTACTCCCTCCACAGAGACTGCAAGAGCCCCGTGGCCTGTGCTGGGAGAGACACTCGGACAGCATCCGGGACCTCCAGCAGCCTTCTAAGCTTAGCCTACAGAGTGCAGGTGCCCAGATGCCCTCCTCTTCTTGCTGTACCTCTTTATTCTTGAGAGAAACCCCAGGGAAACACCTCTTCTAGCTTAGGAGGGATGTTTCCTCTTCCTGGAATCACCTTGCTGAATGGCCCGAGTTTGTGCCTGTGTGGTAGGCTGGTGATCTGCCTACACGTTCGCCCACGCATCAGTTAATAATTAAATAACGATACTGAGAGGAAACCAGATTTTATTTTTTTCATCCACATCTCCCTTTTCAAGTCTGTTAGGAGCTGAGTCAGGACGGTGCCATGAGTAGGTAGGGGACTGACTAGCTCTGGACTCCCTAAAGACAAGCTGCTTAGCACTGTTGAGGCTTTATGGGAAGCTAAAAGGCGAGGTGCCGGCCACTCCCCGGTTCTGCCCAGTGCGCATCCCCCCTTCTCTCAGAGCCTGGACAACAGCTCTGCCGAAGAACAGCTTAACCTCTGCCTTGGCTTCTCCCATGTAGATCAAGCATATGGGGTCAGAGAGTTGACTTTGAGGTGTACCTGGCTGGGAATATGTTTGGGTCTGGACTACATATTCAAGATTAAATTCCCAAGTGACGCCAAAGTTAGGTTTCCAAGGACAAGGGACAGACAGCCTGCTCTACATCTATGTCCTCACCAGAGAGTTGCTTGGGAGAAATGAACTGCCAAGGACAGACAATCTTGGTCTCATACGAGACATTCAACATAACTGAATGGGACACTGACTAGTTTGCCCCTCTCTGAGTCTCCAGTGGCCAGAGTGGCCTATGAGGCAGGCCAGGGGTATGTGTGGGTTGTGCCTCCTCGCCTCCCTTGTGGGTAATTGCCTTATCCATAGCTTGTTTATTCTGTTTTCCTAATCCATACAAGTCCTGTTTCTCTCCAAAAACCTAGTTACCACAACCACAATGGCAGCCTCAGTGGGGCACTGAAACAGTCTCCTTTCCCCAAGGTCTCTGCAGATAGCTAGAGCTCTGCTCCTGGGATTTGATTTGCCCGTAATCTCTGCCCCATACACTCCCAGAACCATCCTGGGCTCACCCTCATCCTATCTGTTTGGCAGTGGTGCCTCTTAACCCGTCTTCTTTTTTAGTAGAAGAGGCTGCCGGGAGCCTAACCCTTCACAATGTAAAGGACAGGAGAGAAATGACTAAAGTTGCAAGGACAGATAGGCTATGGGTCTCTGCCCCAGGCCCTGGCTTGTGAGCTAGCCACACGCGTGTGAGCTGGCAGTGATGAGGCTGTGCTCAGGTGAGTGAGCCTCCGGTCCTGCGCTAGTCGCTGACAGGACAGTGTCAGCTGAGCTGCAGTGAAAGTGAAGTGAGTCCCTGAAGTGTGCCACCTCTCCTAACAAGAAGACACCAGGAGCAGACAGGTTTGCCTGTTCCCCGGAAATGGCCCAGCAGCCCCCGGTAGGGGTGGAGTGCACTGGGGAGGGATGCTTAGGAATGGAAGAGGGGGCTGCTGAAGACCCCGTGTTGGTCATGACAGTTCCGTTTCATGCCTCGGCACGCCCTTCTACTAGAGAGCAATAAGATGGCACCTTCACAGAGCAGTAGGATGGGACAAATGGGGTGAGGCTCAAGGAAACAATTTTCCCAGTCTCCCTTCAGGGTACAGACAGACGAAGACAAAACAGTTCCATATATACAAACTTTACACAAAATAAATAAGGAACTGTGGCCCCAGGCCAGTAAGCACCCAGGACTTCCTCCCTCTGCCAGAAGCTGTCCCCTCAGGCCTTAGCCAAGGGACCCTCTGAGCCTTGGGTATTTCTTATCCCCACCCCAGGAGTTCACTTCTGCTTCAGAAGCTCTCTGGGATCAAATTTTGAACGCCGCATCCTTTGAGACCCCTCGTTCTGAGGTATCTAGAACAGTTTCAGGCCAAGTCCTCATGTCTGCAATCCAGTGAGTGCAGCTGGCCTCCCCCAGAGCAGGCCCCTCATCTGCAACATCCAGCGAGGCTTGGGCAGGCACAGGTGCAGATCCTTCGCCTTCCGGTCCTCAGGAGCCTGGTCGGTCAGGGCCGGGCTCCCTGCTCCATCTGTTGGTGCTGGCTGCGCACAGCAAACCTGTTGACATGCACGGGAATGGGCACTACAATCTTGGGGTTTCTCACAGGCTCCCCAGAACGACTGCTCACATTGCCGGCCTTGATGCGCTTCCACTTGGCCCGGCGGTTCTGAAACCAGATCTTCACCTGCACCTCACTGAGCTTGAGGGCATGGGCGATCTGGGAGCGCTCGGTCAGGCTCAGGTATTTCTTGCAGTGAAACTCCTTCTCCAGCTCCAAAAGCTGCTCGCTGGTGAAAGCCGTTCGCCGCCTTCTGCTTTTTCCCCCAGGCGTGGTGACTCCTGTGGCCACTGGAGCCCCCTCCTCAGCTCCAGTCCCCAGGCTTCCCTTCAGCTTCGGTTTAGGTCCCAGAAGAGCCCCTGGGGCCCCTGCAGAACTGTCCAGGAAGCTGTCCTCGCTGTCACCGCCTGAGCCCTCCTCCTCCTGCTCGCTGCCTGCTGGGTCTCCTGCTGGGACCTCCAGCTTCTCCTCATCTGAGCTGTACACCTTCCCCTCTGCTGTGGAGGTGGGGTGGGGTGTGGAGAAACCAACAGATGGGGAAGGAGAGGGCAAGGAGAAGGTGGTTTGGAAAAGGCACATGGAAGCATGGCCAGGAACGAGCAATTGACAATAGGAACAGCACATTCAGAAAGGAAGAGATGGGTCAGAAGGAGAGAGGAAGGACATCGGGGAGGAGTGGGAAAAGGTTTAGGAGAGACAAAGAATGGGAAGAAAGGTTTTAACCAGCAGACTTCACTACGGAAAAGCAGAGAGGCAACGTGTAAGACAGTGACCCCTCAACTCTCCCACCACCCCATTGCATGCCCCTTACCATCTCCCAGCTTCCTCCAAATGTGGTACCCATCCAAGATCCAGCGTGTTCACATCCTCCCTCCAGGCTGGCTGGGAGGGGTAGGGCTACACATAGCCTTTGTGTCCTTCCAGGAATCCTCTACATACCCTGGGCTGTCCTGGAATCACTTTGTAGACCAGGCTGGCCTTGAACTCACAGAGATCTAGCCTACCTCTGCCTCCCTGAGTGCTGGGATTACAGGTGTGTGCCACCGAGCCCGGCTCCTGGTTCCTGTTGTTAACCAGACCGCCCTGGTGGACAAGCCCCAGCACAGCCACTTTCTTTTCTGTGGCCACACCTTTTCCCTGTCACTCGGTCCCCTGGTCCCTTTCTAGGGCTAATCCTTAATTTCAGCATGCCACCATCTCTTTTTGGCACAGACTCCTCCTGGCCATGGCTGCCTATAGCACCAATGGTGACTTCTTGAGGATCCATAAAAAGAGCTTGGTAGCAGCAAGGGAAGGCTGGAGGGAATGTGGGGCTGCTGGAGAAAGAGGCAGACAAGGGGAAACTAGAGAAGGGAGTGTGGGAAGGCATCTTGACTCTAGTGGGTGACTGATCCCAGGATATAAACATTTTAATCTGTACTCAGTTCTAAATTTAAATCAATGCCTGGTTTTATTATATCCACTGATGTCTTTGCTATCACTGGAAAGCAAGGCATTTTTCAAATGCTTTCAGGGCCAGGGAGATGACTCAGCAGGTCAACGCCTGCTGCACGAGGAGGAGGGCCTCAGCATAGACCCTCCTAAAAAGCCAAATGTGGTCAGGTGGTGGTGCGTGCCTGTAACCGCAGTTGTAGGACCGAGACTGGCAGGTCCTGGCGGCTCACTGGCCAACCAGCCTAGCCGAAACATTAAGCTCTAAATTCTGGGAGAGATCCTGTCTCAAAAATAAAAATAGAGGGCCAGAGAAATGGCATAGTGGGTGTTGTCAAACCTGATCACAGCCAGGTTAGATCCCAGAGACCCACACGGTGAGAGGGGAGAACTAGCTTTCAAAAGCTGTCCTTACTGACATGCAACACTTTCACACACACACACACACACACACACACACACACACACACACACACACACACACAAATGCACACACACAAAGTAATTTCCTTTGAATATTTTTTTCAGTGTTTGAGTTTCTAAACTTCTTTGTTTTCTGCCCAAGAAAACAACAGAAATCCATCACCCAGTAGGAAGATGTGGAGGCTGTAAGTTAGGAGTTCAGAGAAAGTTAAGGCCGGGTGGGAATAGTAAGGCAACCCTCATCTCCATCACCCACACAATGTGCACCCTCCCCAGGTGTGCTCAGAGCTGAGACTCCAGCTCAAACTGGACCCCGGGTGCAGTGAGTGGTGTGCGGAAGGGGTGCACGAGGGGAGAGCGCCCCACAGGAGGGCACATGACAATGCTCCTGCTTTTTGCAGCCCCTCCCTCTGGGCCTGGAGTCAGCAAGCTGCTTCCTCCTCCCAGTGAGCCCACACCTGTTTCTCCATGCCTGCTCCTTCTCCTCGGGATCCATGAAGCCTTTTGCCTCAGAGGCCGTGTTCTCCGACTCCTCTACTGCAGTCAGCATCTTCATGTTGCCCTTGCCCCAGCTTACAGCAGCCAGCCAGGCTCCAGACGGCCCCTTACCTCCCATAAGCAGCTTGCCAGGCAGGGGCCTCGTGCTGTCTAGAAAAAGTGCCAACCTCCAGGGATGTCCCAGAAGTAGATGATGCATCTTATCACACTCACTCATCACCCATGCTTTCTTTTTTAAGCCTTGGCCACAAACATTTTGTTTTCTGCAGGATTTGGGGCCCAGGGGCTAGAGAGATGGCTCTGTGATTACAAGCACTGGCTGTTCTTGCAGAGGACCAGGGTTCTATTCCTAGTACCCATCAACAAGGTGGTTTACAACCATCTGTAACTATATTCCCAAGGGATCTGATGCCCTCTTCTGGTCCACATGGACCCTGCATACAAATGGGGCACAGACATACTTGTGGGCGAGCACTCACATACATAAAATAAAAACAAAAACAAACACATCTTTTATTAAAGATTCAGGACACAAGCCAGGCGGTGGTGGCAGATGCCTTTAATCTCAGCACTTGAGAGACAGAGGCAGGTGGATCTCTGTGAGTGCTAGTCCAGTCTGGTCTACAGAGTGAGTTCCAGGACAGCCAAAGCTACAGAGTAGAACCCTGTCTCAAACAAAACAAAACAAAACAAAAGATTCAGAGCATGGGTGCACTCCTTCATCTTGCTAAGGGATCGTGTTCACATTCTTCCCCACCCCCCACAGACTCAGATTTCTCAAGTCCCAAATGGAAATCTCAACCTTCCTCCAACCTTTCTTTCACCTTTACCATTCTTCCCGACCTGGCCTATCAGCACCCCTCCACCCCATCTTCAAACTACACCATGATATTGCTCTTTACTTCTCCCTCTCATGCCATCCACAACTCCCACAAATCCACCTTTCAGAGCTGGGCCCTCCATCATCACCCTCTCGCCAGCCTCTTTCCAGTGGCTTTCCTGTCTTCTGCAGCCTTTGTCCCCAGCCTTCTGTGTCAGGGATACCCTACTCCCTCCACATCAAGCACTGGCTCCTTCCCTGGCTCCTTCTTCCTTGTCATCCCCTTAGACTTAAGATGCTTCTTGGACTCATCTGCTGACCTAATATGTGACATCAACTTCATTCGCTTTATTAAAAAAAAAAAAACAAACAAACAAACTACGTCTCTTCCTATTAGAATATAAGCTTCATAAAAATATGTATCTCAGTCATATTTTATTCACAGTTGTAGCTTTGCTATCTTAAAAATTACCTATAGAGCAGGCATTTAATAACTGCTTAATAAAACAAAACAACTATTTCCTGTGCATGAATGCACGCTTTACCCCCCCCTTACTCCTACCTCCTCTTCCCCTATCAGTTCCCTTCTCAGCTCTCCTGAGATACTCCCTTCAACTCTGCCCATTCCTAGCACCAGCTCTCCTCCCCTACTATTACCCCCCTACCCTCTGTCCAACGTGCCTCAGACTTTCCCATACGCAGAGGAATCCTAGGGGACCTTACGGTGTTAAAAGAAGTGAAGAAAATCCCAACACCATTACTACGTCTTACGGCCTCAATTTTGAAAACATACTCTGTACTAATTAATAATACGTTAACAAAAATTTAGCCCAGTAGCGCAATGTTTTAGACAGTGTTAAAAAGGCAGAAACTGGCTTTCAGGGCTTGAAGGAGTTCAGTGCCAAGCCCCCCGGGGGGGCATCCAATAAATCTAAATTGATGATGATTGATAGGAAGCTCCCAGCTCCTCAGTCTGGCAGAGGCCTCCTGAGATCAGCTCATCCATCCCTCTGTCTTCAGACAGAGCCAGAAGCTCCAGCCCACACAAGCAGGCCACCCTCAGCACCGCTTCTGAAGCCACACAAGGAGTGAGGGTTCATGGCCTCTCTCTGTTTCTTGGTCCCGGTGGGACACTGAGTGGCAGGGGCAAGAGTTTCTGTCTGCGCCTTTATGATGGTGACATTGAAGACTCTGATAAGCTACCTCTAGACCGAGATGGGGGCGGGGCAACCGAGAGGAGCACACAACCACAGGCCTCAGAGGACAGCTTTGGAACAATGAGGAGAGATCCGTAAGAGGGAAGGAGGAAGGAAAGGGAAATGCACGCAGAAAGGAGGCCAAAGCCAGAGAGAAGTGGGGTCGGGAAGTGGCAGAAAAATTAAATGGTGGGCCAGACAAAGCAAAAGGCTGAGTGTCATGCAGAGATGGGAAAAATGGGGGTCGGGGGTTATTAAATAGTCACATTCCACTGTCACTTGCCCTTTGCTCCACCAGACGGGGACATGCTGAGAACCAGGATGGAGTCAGGGACCAGGAATGAATGAGTGACTCAGCGACCCCTGGAAGAGAGGCCCTTGGCAGGCAGGTGGCCCACACAGCTTACCATTTCCACATAACTTAGTTAAGGAAAGAAATGCAGGAGCTGGGGAGCTAGCTCATCACAACCACCTTAATTCCAGTTCTAGGGGACGGGACGTCCTCTCCTGACCTGCCTGGGCACCAGGGATGGATGTGTTCTGTGTACACATGCAAGCAAAACACTCACAGAAAATAAAATGAATAATTTTAAAAAAGAAGGAAGGAAGGAAGGAAGGAAGGAAGGAAGGAAGGAAGGAAGGAA